GCTGCCCCCCCCCCCCCCCCCCCCCCATCCCCCAGCCACTTCTGGTGGCCCACGTCACTCCTGCTCTCCCCCAGCCTGTCCTCACTGTCCCCTCCACCGCTGACGGGCACGGCAGGGAACGGTGTCTGCATGGGTTTTATGGACAAAGCCACTGGGGATCACAGCAGGAGCATCTCTAGGAGAGCTCTAACCACCAGCCCCAGGGGTCCCCAGTGCACAGTGGTTTTTTCAGGGGTGGGGAGGGGACAGGCTTCACCCTGTATGGATCTCACTGCAGATTGCTGTGCCCCATGTCACCCTCTGCACTGGCAGAACGTGCAGCTCCACAGCCCCAGTCTGCTGCTGTCTTTGCTAAAGCTGGCTATAAAAATGGGCAGTGAAGGTGTGAGCCTGGAGGAAGGAAAGCAAAGCCTGGGACACTTTTTGTCCCGGGCAAGCGGTCCTGAGCATGGAGTCATCCCAGAAGAGCCCTCAGTGAACACAGCCCCACTGTCCTGCAGCTCTGCTGGACTCTCCTGGGTGTCTCTGCACGTGGTGTGGTGGGCATGGCGTGGTGGCTTCATGGTGTGGTGGGTTCTCACCCTGAATAACCCCCTGAGAGAACGTGTGACAGTGGTGGTAGAAGTCCAAAGGAGTGCTAGGTGTGCATGATGTTGGGTTTAGTGGTTTTAAGGAAAAGAGCTCAAATGTGTTTCAAGTGGAAGTTTTGAAGAACCAAGGGGTTTGGTTTCACTGACCCACCTGGCCAGAGGGGACAGTCCTCAGGGCCCTGGCAGACTCTTTATGGGGTCCTGAGCTCACCTTGCTGCACTTGTAGTTTAGCAGCTGTTTCCAAGACCTCCAGCAGCTGGGGCAGGGAGGGTCCCCATCCCCACCTCAGGTGCCTAGGAGAGGCTCACTGCTGGGTCTCTGCAGTGCAGGCACCTTGAGCAGCAGGGGCTGCAGCAGGATCCAGCAGCAGGATCCAGCACTGGCCCTTCTCGTGGAGCAGTGCTGGTGAACCCCCTTCTGCTGACCAGAATTCCCTGCCCTTCTGGGAGCCCCCACTAGACACAGACGTGCCCCGGCTCTGACCCACGCCAGTAACGGTGTCTCGCTTTGTTCCTCACTAGCAGCACCACCAGATCAAACCCCTCCAGCTTCTCCAGGCCTCTGGTGCACTCGGTGCGCAGGGAGAGGGGCAGGGACTGGAGGAAACCCGGGCGCATCATCCGCAAGGCGTGAGGATCTGCTGGGGAGACGTCACTGAGCCAGAGGCCACCCTCCCTCTGAGGTCTGCACCGACCCACCACCTCTCAGCAGCAGAAGGAGCATCTCCCAGGCACCACGACCTGCAGTCTGCAGCCTTCTCCTCTGCGCTGAGCCTGGCACGACTGGGAAGGAAGGAGCCTCCTCCTCCTGTGAGCCCATCCCTGCGTGGTGAGGAGCTGGAGTGGAGCCACCTCAGCCAGCACTGGGATCGACAGGGGTGGGACAAGACTGCTGCCACCCAACACAGTGAAATGACTTTTCTTCCCTTTTCTCAAAAGGTTGAGTAGATGAGAGTAGATTTCTTGGGGAAAGAATGACATTTGCTCCTGGGAAGCCTCCAAATGGTTTCAGTCCCTGCTCCTTCCACCCAAGCACTGTGTGGCCAGTAAGCAGCACTTCCCAAAATGACTGGGCAGTCTTTGGTGTCCAGTTTGTCACCATTCCCAGAACTCGCCTCCATTGGGGTACCCAGAATTCACGATACTTTGGAAATGCTGGTTCCTCATTAAGTCTCATTCACTGGGAGTCTGTACAGGGGTTTTTTTCTGCTTTTCTCCACCCTTGTTCCCTGTGTTCCTCCGGGGTGGAGGGGGAAATGCCCTGAGCTGGTGACTCACAGCTATGCCACCAAATGCAATTTATTGCAATGACCCTGTAATTAAATTTCTTTGGAGCATTCCCAGCAGCCGAGCCAAACATAAGAGCGACTTTCTAATGAGCAGCTAGATGGGGAAGGAATCCAGTATTGCTCTTTTCTTAGAGTCTGCCATTGAGGCACAGAATCAGCTTTAGGGGCAGAAGTCAGCAGCCGCATCCTGCCGTGCAGCAGTTGTGTGCAGGGTGGGAGTCACAGGGCGCTGGAGGGATTCTGACCCTGGGCTCCCCCCAGCACTTGGCCGTGGCCAGACGCCTGCCTTGTTTGCTGAACAGCATGTTTGGCTCAAACACAGCCTGTTTTTCTCTTTGCCAACCATTCACAACCCTGAGCCGGGCTGGCGGGCGCCTTCCCCCGGGGCAGGCAGGGAAGGGGCTCGGGGTGGATTGTGCACCCCCCCCCAGCAGTGCCCACGGGAGCTCTGCACACTCCTCTGCCCCTCGGGTGTCTGCCCATTGTTCCTTTTGGTTGAGCCCGTGTTTGTTCAGTCACCCACAGCAGGAGGCACCTGCCCAAGGTAGAGCTTGGCACCTGAGCTGGGCATGCAGGCCTGTGCTGCAGAGAGGGGTCGGTGGCTGTCTCCTCCAAGGCTGGGGAATCCAAAGGATCTCAGCTGGCTGAGCTCTGCCCTTGGAGTGCCCAGTCCCAGGCAGCCTGGAGAAGTAACTCGGGTGTAGACCTCTACTGTTAGGGGAGATGGAGTTTTGCTTTGGGAGGTGAAGTTGATGCCTTGTGACTAGTTTTTTTTTAAAAAGGAGATGGGAGAAGCTGTTGATGTCACACGTTTCAAAGCATAAGCTGCCTGCAGAGCCCTGCCCCAGCTCTGGGACACTGGGGCTCTCTCCCTAGGCATCTGCTGCCTCTCCCAGCACATGCAGCTGCCTCTCCCAGCACAGGCAGCTGCATCCACAAGTGGCAGCAACCAGTGGAGAAGGTGTCAGGAGGAAAAATATTCAGAAGGTGTTTCTGGGTGGCAGGGAGCTTTGCTTTCCTGGAGTTGAGGCTGTGTTGTCTTATGGGGATGTGCAGCTGGCTGTTGAGGGCTGGCTGGGGCTGTTCAGCCTGGAGAAGAGAAGGCTCCAGGGGGACCTTATTGCAGCCTTCCAACACCTGAAGGAGAGAGGACTAAGGGAAAGCTGGGGAGGGACCTCTTACAATGGCTTGTAGTGACAGGATGAGAGGTAATGGCTTCAAACTGGAAGAGGGGAGATTTAGATTAGATGTAAGGAAGAAGTTCCTCACTGTGAGGGTGGTGAGACCCTGGCACAGGTTGCCCAGGGAAGCTGTGGATGCTCCATCACTGGATGTGTTCAAGGTCAGGTTGGATGGGGCTGTGAGCAACCTGGTCTAGTGGGAGGTGTCCCTGCCCCTGGCAGGGGGGGGGAACTAGATGATCTTTAAGGTCCCTTCCAACCCAAACCATTCTGTGATGCTGTGTTCTGCCTGCTCCTCTGCCAGAGCCTGTGTGCATTTGCTGGGAGCCCTTGCTAAGCAAAAAGTGTTTAAATTAATGCCTGAAGTGGTGCAGGATAGGACCTCACTGCCTGGGCTGGGCTCCCAGCATCGATGGGACAGACAGACCTGAGCAGGGCCAGGCAGATGTCCTTACTGCTGCACCCCTGGGAATGGAGAGGGGAGAGGAATGCCATGCTCTGCTGATCACATGCTGGACTTATCCCTGTAAATAGCATCACGTTTACTTCCAATAAACTCTTTTACATCCATGGTGTTTAGATTGTCTCCATTCTTCTTCAGGCCTTGCATCTCTCTCTGCTGGTTTTGGCTTTCCCAGCCTGGAAGGCACCCCCAAGGTACAGCTGGTGGGGTAAGGAGTGATGCAGTGTGACTAAAAGCATCTTCGATGCTGAGTTTACAGCACAAATGTTTGTTCTTTCACACTTTATGCAGAGGAACAGGTGACTGCAAACCACTCTTGGTTTGGATGGTTGTAGGCTTTGCTTTGTTCTTTGTTCCAATATTTAAGTTGCTGTGCAGCTCTGCTGGAGAAAGTCCTGCCCAAGAAACACACCTCGTGGTGGGAGCCAGTGATGGTGGAGAGCTCAGGATCCACCAGTCTTCAGTGGTGTGGACCCCCAGAGACCTGAGGGAGTGATGCAACCCAGTGGCTCAGTGTAGACCTCCACAGGGCTCACCTTCAACCTGGCATTCCCACAAATAAGTGGGTTGACTGAAGGTCCAGGCTCACAAGGATGCAGTCAAGGGTGGCCAACCTACCTACTGAGGTAACTTGAGTCCCCTGGGGGGTTTGGGTCTGACTCTGCACTCTCACCCTGCTGTTCCCCCACAGCACCCTTAGACAGACATTTACCCCTCCCTGACTCCTCAGCAGGGATGGGCTGTGCCCTGACATCCCAAAACACCAGAAATCACTCTGCACAGGAGCTCCTCAGTCCAGAGGTGGTCAGAAGACACCCCGTGTACTGTAGCCAGCAAGGTCACCAACACAAAACCAGCACAGCCGCTGCACTGAGCCGTGCTCTAAAAATAAAAGCCTTCCCCCAAAATGCTAGAAATGAAGCCAGCACTTACAGTAAACCCTGCTGCAGCCCCTCACCCCCAGCCATGATGTGCAGAACTTCTCCATGCTGCTCAGTGGAAGGAAATCACCTTGTGTGGCTTCAGATGGTGTTAGATGAGGTCCTGAGGTGGGAGGCTGTGAGGGCTGCTGGCTCTGCTCTAAATAGACTCCGTGGGCTGTAAGCTGTACACTGAACTGTAGGAACTTCCCTTTTGGCTGGAAATGGTTCAGAGAAGTTTCCGACCCTCCCGGTGAAAGCCCTGATCCCCCTGGGGCTGGCTGCTGGCAGGAGCTTTCAGGGAGGTTCAAAAGGAGTTTTGGCCATCACGGAGTAACCTGCCCTCAGGCACTGTTGTCACCTGCTCCCAAAGAGCTCACTGGGTGGAGCATCAGGATTTCACCCTCTGGGCTTTTAATCTCAGCTGTGGATGTTGTCCTGCCTTGGTGTGAGACACACTTTTGGTTTGGGGGCATGTCTTCCCATCCAGACCTTATGATCCCACCATTCCACACAGCTTTTAATGGGCCAGAAGCTGCACAGCACCCCGGAGCTGCTGGATTCAAATGCTGCAGCTGAGGTGCTGGGTTGGGAGCTGAAGCCCTCCCGTTTGAGGCTACAGCAGCTCACCTGTTGGTGTCTGCAGCACCTGGAAAGCCCAGGTGACTGTCCACCCCCCGCCTGCCAGCACTCCAGGGGTTTGGGGAGCTGGTGCCACCTCAGCTCTGCCACTTCTGCACCCCTCAATGCTCCTGTTGAAGCCAGACCCTGCTCCCTGATGGGCTTGGGCTACATGCTGCTCATCAAGCAACTGCTTCACCTGCATCCTTGACTTGCAGGAGCTGTGCTCCACCCACCAGCATCTCCAGGACCTTCCCCTGGTGAGAGCATCCCCAGAGGCTCCTGCTTTCGGAGGACTTTGAGCAAAAGCCAGCTGTTCTCATAGATCAGCTGCTGCTTTTCCTGTCTGTGGTTCTCGGAGCTGGTGCAGTTTCATTACTGAGAAATCCTTTCCACCCTACAACCAGAGAGTCACCAGAACCTCCTCCCGCCCGTCAGTTCTTCTCTTGGCAGGGCTGGAGGAGCTGGGGTGCTTCTGCTGCTCTGCTCCAGCCACACTGTGGACTGGCTGCCAGGGTAGGTCTCTGGGGCTGCTGCAATCTGCCATTCAGATTCTGTTCTAACAGGAATCAGTGTCTAAAGGCCAAACTCTCCCTGGGTGTAATCCCATCCAGGGCTGTTGAGGTTTCATAAGGGCTCAAGCAGGTGAGGGATTTTTTACATAAAGAGCAAGAAAAATCCCTTGAATGCTCCAGCTGGTCCTGGCTCCTCTCCTTCACATCCAGGTTAGCTCTAATTCTTCTGCTGTTTTCCAGGTAAGTGTGTGGCTAATTGTTTCTGTGATTCATCTTCAACTTAAATGAAAATTAACTCTCTTTTTTTTTTCTTCTGCTTTGCCCTGTTAAGCTAAAGCAGATTTCAAATTTTTGATTCATTCTCAGGTGTTTCCTTCTTACAGCTGAAAATTTCTCCTCTCACTCAGTACAGACCCTCTGCCTCTTTCATTGGGAAATTATTGCATCTATAAACAGCTTGCTCTCTACAGAGTGGATGTTGAATCCAGGCCATGGCTTGTGTGGGGAAAATGAAGCCCACGACCTTGTGGATTTATGCCACCCTGAGAGCTGAGCAGCCACAGTGGTTCAGCTTTGGGTAGAAAGGAAAGGATCCACTTGTTGCCTGTGTAGCTGCTCTCTGCAATGGGCTGGGATTGCTGAAGCTTTGTGGAGGATGATGCCAGAAGGCTGCAACAAAGCGTTATTATAAAGTCCTTAATTTGGAAATTCACTTTTTGGGGAAAGTAGTAAAAGTCAGAGGAAAGCAAATGGTCAATTGCTGTAGTAGCTGTAGAGCTCTCTGTGTTAGAAGTCACTGTCTCTAGCTCCTGGCTTAGCAAAAAATGATCATCATTCCCCAAGCCCCCCTGGGCTAGAATCCCAGATTTAGCAATGTGGGAGCTGAAGCTAGATGAGGGAAATGATGCCCTGTTTCAGCCAGGCTTGGGGAAGACCTGGTGAGGATGAGCTAGTTCTTGACTCCTCTGAGCTGTTCAAGCCCCATCCCTTCAACTCCACATCCAGCCCCTGGTGCACAGAGGAAGGTGCAGCTTAGTTGCAGGTTTCTCTGGCTGACTGGAGCCTGGAGAGACCGAAGGAGCCTCTGATTAAAAACGCACAGGCAGTGAAATGCCCTCCTGCCTGTTTTCCCCCAGGCTCTGTCCTGCAGCCCTTGGGATTCCGGGCAGGGCTGTGAGCTGTGACTGCAGCAGGGCAGGCTGAGGGCATCTTCCTGGAAATGGCTCATTTCACAGAGCCACTGTCCCAGAGGCTGAGCATTTTTTTGGAGATGCTGGGATCATAGAATCTTAGAAACACAGAGCAGTTTGTATTGGAAGGGATCTTAAAGATTGTCTAGTTCCAGACCCCTGTCATGGGCAGGGAGACTTTCCACTGGAACATGTTGCCCAAAGCCTCATCTAGTCCTGGCCTTGAACACGTCCAGGGATGGGGCATCCACAGCTTCCCTGGGCAACCTGTGCTAGTGTATCACCACCTTCAGTGTCAAAAAATTCCTTCCTTCTCTCTAGTCTAAATCTCCCTCTTTTAGTTTAAAACCATCACCCCTTGTCCTGTCGCAACAGGCTCTGCTGAAATGACCATCCCCAGCTTTCCCTTGAAGTCCTGGCAGGCCACCAGAAGGTCTCCCTGCAGCCTCTCTCCTCCAGACTGACCAAGCCCACCTCTCTTCTGCTGGCCTTGTTGGACTTCAAGAGACTTACATGTGCCTTCAAGCCTGTCCAGGTCCCTCTGGATGGACCCTGTACCTCCAGCATGTTGACCACACCACTCAGCTCAGTGTTGTTGGCCAACTTGCTGAGGGTGCCCTGGATCCCACTGCCCATGTCACCCCCAAAGGTGTTAAACAACACTGGTCCCAACACAGACCCCTGAGGAACGCCAGGATGTGACATGGTCATACCCCAAAGGCACTGTGAGCAGTGACTGGTGAGACTAAGGGGTTTAAAAGCTGCCTCCCAAAAAGGGACAGGCTCGGTGTCTGCCGGGCAGAGCTCCCTCCTCACCCTGCTGTCACTCCTGCCAGCGGGACCCTGGCACAGTTATACCAGTGGAAAGAGCAGCTCTGGACCATGCTGTGCCTCCCAGCTGCTGGTGCCACCAGCCATGAAGAGGTACCTGAAGGGTGTGAGCTGCTGGGGGTGGAGGGAGCAGCATCAGCCACCTGCCTGGGGTCCTCCCCCCGGGAGGACTCAATGCAGTGGGGATGCTCCCTTCACCAGGCTGTGGGCAAACAGCAGCACCTCGTACCCAGCGGGGTGTCCTGCTTGGCAGGCCAGAGGGAGAAGTTTGGGTGTCCTGCTGAGCCTGGTGGTGGATGGAGGGTGCACGGGGGCTGCTCTGTCTGCTGGGAAGCCTGGCAGCAAAGGGCAGAAGGTGGTGAACCACTCCCCAGCTGTGCTGTGGCAAAGCTGGCTGGAGTAACCGCAGTGTGGGGGATGCTGGGACTCCACCAGTGACTTAAATGCAGAGGCTTTGGGAGCCAAGCAGTGACAGCATCATCTGTTTCACCTCCCATCAGCAGCTAGGGGTGGTGAATGTTTAAGCTGCTCCTGTGGTCCCTTTGTAGCCCCTTCTCTTTCCTTTGCAGCACCGAGATGTCGAGCTGAGCGGGGCAGGTTTGAGCCCAATTCCCAGGTCATGTATTTGTGTGTGAAAAGCAAGAGCTGGCTCCTTGCACCTGCCAGGTCTCCTCCTGGGGAGGCCACGATGAATGGTGCTCAGCTTTTAGCCACAGAGCTTCAGGATCAGGGGTCATCTGAAAAGCTGCCTCTGCTGCTTCAGCCCCCGTTGCCCTTGGCCCAGCTCAGCCTCAGATGAGCATGGGTGGCTTCACTGTTTTCTCTTTTCCATCCCACTCCTTGCAGGTCAGCACAGAGGGTTCTCCTAAGTCCTTGGAGCTGATGGACTCCCCCACCTCCACGAACACGAGCGTGGACTGCATTCCCCAGGTGGTGCACCCCACCATCCCTGCCCTGGGGACCCTCCTGCTGCTGGCCTCCACCCTGCTCAATGGCCTCAGCTTCTGGGTCTTCTGCTTCCGCATCAAGCAGTGGGACCCAGGCATGCTCCTCCAGTTCAGCCTGGTCCTGGGAGACATCCTGATCATCCCTTCCGTTCCCTTCCGCATCTCCTACCTCAGCCTCAACAACCGGTGGCTCTTTGGGCAGTTCCTCTGCCAGCTTGAAGTCTTCCTGCACAGCACCCACGTGTACAGCAGCATCTACTTCCTGACGCTCATCTGCGTGCACCGGTACTTTGTGGTGGCACAGTACAAGAGCCAGTCCCTCTGGAAGAGGAGAAGCTTCCTGAGAAACCTCTGCTTGCTCACCTGGCTCGTCCTCCTTCTCCAGGGGCTGCCCATCTTCTTCCTCTTCAAGACTTCGGTTATTAATGGCTCAGAAAAATGCCTAAATATTCATCAGTCAGAGCTGGCCTCTGTTTTCTTCGCCTACAACACAGTCGTGGTGGTGCTCTGCTTCCTCCTGCCCTTTGCCATTGCCTTGACTTGTGGAGCTCTGTTGGGAGATGCCATTGCCAAAGCGGCGAACAAAAGCTCCAGAGGCAGGAAGATGAAGAGCAGGTCTCTGCAGATGATAACAATGTCCCTGGTGATTTTTGGCATCTGCTTTGGCCCGCTGCACATCTGCAGGACCATTGCTGTCACTGTGAAGTACTACGGCATGTCTTGCAAGCTCCTGCAGCAAGCAGAAGTTGCCTACTACGTCAGCTGGGTGCTCACCATGGCAAACACCTGCCTGGATCCCCTGATCTACGTCTTTGCTAACGATAAGTTCAAGAAGAGCTTTGCTGACTCCTTTCGCAAACGCTGGGGCACCAAGTGAGTGTGAAAGGCCTGGAGCCACCTCAGACCTTCCTGGAAGATCCCATGGGGTGGCTGCTGAAGATCCAGACCCCAAACTTCCTCTTCCTCCCGTTCTGTCCCAAGTCCCCAGAGCTACTGGTAGCAGTGTTGAAGGACTTTCAGGGTTTCTCAATGTTCCTCCAGTGTTGTGGAGGGGTTGTTCCCGTGGGCAGGGACTCCGTGGGCTGTATGGAAGCTCTGACTAGGTGCTGCCTCTGACAGCACCCTGGGTGGATGAACCTCCCAAACACTGGCTTCTTTACACTGCTGATGTGGCCAAACCCTACTGGGTGCAAGGGGGAAGAACTTCACACCTAGAGTCAGAAATCACGAGACCATCCAATGAAAACTCTTGTGAATTTCCTGCCCATGAATGTTTTGTCTTTTCCACCAGGAGCAGGGTGTGTGTGAGCACGGAGCTGAAGAGCACCCAGGTCCGAGTCCAGCACCTCAGCACAGGGGAAAATGACCCACATCCAGTCACCTGGCTGTCCCCTGGCCACCCAGAGCTCAGCAGCTCCTCAGCCCTGGAGGAAATCCCAGCGTGAGTGCTGTTCTGATCGTAGAATGGTTTGGGTTGGAAGGGACCTCTAAAGTCCAACCCCCCTGCACTGAGCAGGGACAGCTCTAGCTAGGTCAGGCTGCTCAGAGCCTCATCAAGCCTGACCTTGAATGTCTCCAGGAATGGAGCCTCCACCACCTCTCTGGGTAACCTGTTCTGGTGATCAACCACCCTCAAATTAAGGAACTTTTTCCTAATGTCTAACCTAAATCTGCCCTTTTCTAGCTTAAAACCATTACCCCTTGTCCTGTCGTTACAAACCCTTGAGAGCAGATCTGCCTCTGCTTTCCTGTAGCCCCTCTCAGGCACTGGCAGGTCACTATAAGGTCCCCCCAGAGCCTCCTCTTCTCCAGGCTGAGCAGCCCCAACTCCCTCAGCCTGTCCTCACAGCAGAGCTGCTCCAGCCCTCCCAGCATCTCTGTGTCTCCTCTGGACACTCCAACAGCTCCACGTCCTTGTGCTGGGGCTCCCGAGCTGGACACAGACTCCAGGGGAGGTCTCCCCAGGGCAGAGCAGAGGGGCAGGATCCCCTCTCTCCATCTGCTGCCCACGCTGCTTTTGCTGGGACAAGACACACTCCTACCCACAGGTCAGCTCCTCCCAGATGAAAATAAAAGGTGGCAGATGTTGAGCTGTGTCTGAAGAGCACGGGAGGGAGATGCATGGTGGGGAAGGTGCTTCACCAGCCTGGTAGGAAAGCTGGGTTTGCTCACTATGAGTATGAAAGCCACAGTGCTGCAGACTGTGGGAAAGGTGGCAATGGAGCATGTACCAGTGCCAGGGGCTCCTCTCCAGAAAGATGTTCTTCTAGTTGAGGCAACAGCTTGGAAGTTCAGGGTTTATTTTTAGGCTTTGCTGTAAACTTAATCTGTAAGAATGACACAGGATCCAGGTTTCACTTCTCCATCTCTTAAACTGGTCTAAATTGTCCTTCCCTTTTCTCTCTTGCCTCTTTCAATGGAAAATCTGCAGTTACAGATAACAGCCATAATTTGCTTTTTGTATCAGCAAAGCCAGGCACAGAGATCACGGGTCTGGCTGGGTTTTCTGGAGAGCACTGCAGTAAGAGCTGCTGTTAGGACAGCAGGGGACAAGTCCTCATCCCCCAGGAGAGGAGCTGGGCAGTAGCTGGGATTTTCACCGAGGTCTTGGTTCCCAGTGCTCCACTTCAGTTTGGGTTTGGGTATCTTGGCTGTTGGATCTGCCCCCGTGGCCACCTCCAGCCAGCTCTGCAAATGCAGCCTGTGCTGGCAGAGCACCCATGGGTTGCCAGCCAGGTGCTCAGGGCAGCGTGGTGGGTGCCATACCTGTGCCCTGCTGTGTAGAGGGGTGCAGCCACCTCCACCTTCCCCAGCACCCATCCTGCTGATGGCACCGAGGCAGGGGCTGGGAGGGGCACTGCTCAGGAGCCTTCTGCTGCAGAAAGGTGGCTCACGGGGGTCTGCTCTAACGTAAACCAACAAATAATGTGTTTAGCCTAAAAACTGGTACCAAGGGCAGGGTAGAAGTGACTGAGAGACTCATTTTCTAACCTGGCTTCTCTCCACTAATTAATTCCTTGACTAATCCCCACCCACCTGCCTCACCAGGGGTTGCTGCGAAGCTTTGTTGAATTGTGTTCACAACGCCCCTTGTAAGCTCAGAGGGAAGGTGTTGTGCCCTGCTGTTAGCAGCACTCCTGGTGGATAAACCCTGTTGCAAAACCCTGGCAGGCTCCAGAGCCCTGCCCCACGTTGGCACGTGGGTGGCAGCAAACAGCACTTTGGTTTGGGGCTCTTACTCAGAGGAGGAAATTTTGTGTTATTGATTTGGTGCATAAATAAGGGGACACCGGTATACATCTGTGAAAAGGTGTCTGTCCCTCGTTTGGGGGGAGGGGGTATTTTTGGGAAATCCCCACCACAGGATTTCCCAAAGTGCCCAGCAGAAAGATGAAACCTCATATTTCAAAATTCAACTGAGGAAGTGATGGAGAGGACCTGAATCAGGACAATCCCTTTTCATTCCACCAGGGAGCATAACTCTAATGATTTTGATGCTAAACCCTTCTCCAGTTCAACATTCACTCTTCTGTTCTTAACTACCTACCACTTAGTCATGAATTCACTTGGGACAACCAGCTTTAAACCCTGGTGTTATTTGGGCAAGTACAGCTATGGCAAATAATCAGGAGCTAGAACATATCTGCAGTCCTGCAAGTGGCTGTACCTCATCCTGCATTTAAACCCCAAACCAACCTTAAGCACCACCACAAATCCTGTTGGCCTCCCTTGGCCAGTTCTTGAGTATTTAGTAGCTCCAGTAAAATCATCCCATTCCAGACATGTTTGATTTGAAGAAACTTTGGGGAATATGGTCCCTATGAGGAAATGGGGTTTAAGCTTTTAACAAGCTGTGTTTTTGTACTGGGCTCCCCAGGACAAGAGAGACATGAACACACCTGAGAGAGTCCAGTGAAGGGCCTTGGAGATGATGAAGAGACTGCAGCATCTGATGTATGAGGAGAGACTGGTGGAGCTGGGACTGTTCAACCTGGAGGAGAGAAGGCTCCTGGGGATTTCATCAGTGCCTAGAAATACCTCATCTAGAAGTTGCCCCAGGGTGTGTGAGTGCTGGGGAGGCCCCTGCCTGCACAGGGTCGGGGGCTGCTGTGTATGGCTCTACCCTCTCTGGCCTTGGGGCTCTTCTGCCTCCTGCCATCAGTTTGGCTTTTTGGTTGGCTGCCAGTCAGCTGAGGCAGGTAAATTCAGAGGTGCAATGAAGTCCCTGGTCCTGTTGGGCAGTGAAAGCCCCAAGGGGCAGGTGAGGATGGGGGGTTGCATTGCCAGCTCACCCCAGGGAAACACTGGGAGAGGTTCCTGAGATCTGGGCAATGAAAGAAGCTGCATTTCAAATTTGGAGTGTTTGGAGGGGGTTCATGCTGGGGGCATGGGGGGAGCATCCTAATGGGGTGATAACTTCACAGTGGTTGTTGCTACTGCAGAATAATAAACTTGCATCAGATTAATCTCTGCTGGGAGGAGACCAAAGCCAGCCAGGATGGAGTTGGCCTGTTAGGGAACAAAAGTCATTCCTTTTGAATCCATCTGTTTGCAAAATGGGTTAAAGGAGACCCAGAGGAAGTGCTTAGTGGGCCTTTTCACCAAGAACAAAGGAGTTTCAGGACTGGCAGGTCTAAAGTCTCATTAAATCTCTCCTGTGAGGGGGCTTCTGGTTGCAGTGCTGTAGGAGTTCCAAAGTCCCAACCCCATCACCCAAAGTGCTGGAGCTCACCTGGCTGCTTCCCTCTGCCTCAGCTCCAACTCAGCTTTTGCCAGAGTTTGCCTTTTGTTTGTGCAAAAGGCTGCAACGAGCTGGCAATAGGGTGTTTTCTTTAAAAACCAAAGCTCTTGCCCCCAAAATGTCTCCCCAGCTGCACTACTAGCCTCAGACACTACGTGGCACTTCTTCAAGTGACATGGCCTTATTCCATGTCACTAAGGCCAAATCCTGCAAGCTGTAAGAATCGCCTTGAAAAGGCTTCATTTTTTTTCATCTTTAAAGTTCCAGTTCCTGAAAGCACATGACTGCAAGGAGCTGACATTGCTTTTGCAGAGAAAAGCACTGGTTCGGGGTAAACACCACCACCAAGTGCCTCCTATTTTCTTTTGGAAAAAAACCCTCATGACTCCAGCAAATGAAGTCACGCTGGTTTGGACCCCGGGCTGGCATCAGCAAGGGCTTGATGGGAGCAGAGAGGGAAGTGAAAAAGCTCTTGTGTTTGTGTAAGACTGCAAAATCAGGTTGCCAAACAGGATCTAGGCTGGGAAACCAGCTGGGCGAGGAGGCTGCAGCAGGCTGCCCGTCTTGCTCGGGTGCCTCACGTGCTGGGATTTATAATCCTATTTATGATAAATAAGAATTTGTCTTTTTGGGGGGTTTGCTGCTTATTGAGAGACTCTGCTCAGAGCACTTTACTGCTGCTGGAGTTTGGATGTGCTTTGAGATGTGGTTTTGCTGGAATAAATGCTGTTGGTCAGCACTCCCCTGGCTCCGTGTCCCGGGAAGCTGGCTGGAGCCCGGGGAAGGATTTCACAGGGTGCTGATGGGACCCTTAGTCCTGTCCCCAAAGCAAAGAGCTGGGAGCTGGGTGAGACCCAAACGGGACAGGGCTCCTGGCTGAGATGTGAGGAGCTCTGACTCGTGATTTCTTTCTCAAAAGAGATAAGAAGGAACTTCCCCCCCTGAGCCACAGCTCGATGGGTCCCCCTCTGCAGAGATCACAGGGAACTTGGTCCTTCTCAATGACCAAGAAACCTCCAGACCCTGGCCCTGCTTTGCCTCTCCTGCAGGCAGCCTTTCCTCTGGGTGACCCAGGGGAAGGCTCGGGTGAAATTTAGGCTGGCTGTTCACCTATCTAATGGGATTTGTGTTCCTACTCGTGCCCAGCTGCCCTGTGCTGTTTTTCCTGCCCTGACAATCTGCAAATCGTAGCTGCTTGGTCACAGGTTGTCCCCTTTCCCTTCAGCTTCCCCAGGCTGGGCATGTACCACATGCCCCCTTTTATTGCCCTCTTTTTTTCCCTGATAGCCTGAAGTGACTGACAGAGGATTAAAGAGTAAAAATCAAACAAAAACCTTGCAGTGGGAAACTGCTCAGAGTTTATACCCAGGTTCTGTTCTGGAGGAGTGGGGATGCTCAGGGCAGCCCTGTGCCCTGTGCCCTGCTCTGGGAGCCCTTTCTGCTGCCAGCTGAGAGGAACCTTTCCCTGGCAGATGCACACACATCCCTGGAGCTGAAAATAACCTCCAAAATAATTTGTAAGAGCTTCCTGCAAACAGACCCTGAGGCACTGTCTGTGCTGGGCTTTTCTTGGCAGCTGAGAACAGACCCATGAGGCTGGGGGGGAACCAGGACTGGCTCTGCAGGGGGGTTTCTCTGCGACCTTGAGCGAGTTCCTCGTTCCTCAGTGTCAGTAGGTGTTGCAAGGTGTTATCTGCTCC